AATGTACAATTTAAACAATAAGTTATGTTAAGATAAATTTTTTTATTTTTACAAAAAACATATTAACAATTAATAATTAATTAAGACAATGCACTAATTATATATATAATATATATTAATAAAATTATTGATAACCCTTGTTTGTTATTGTTTTTATGCTCTATTCATCTCCTCTCCTCTCCTCTCTTGAATCCTTGAAAGTGCACCTTCACACTTAGATAAGTGATTATCTTCATGTGTAGTGAAAATCTTCCTTGAGTTTTCTCATCTTAATTGTGTAAAAACCTTATTTCTAACTTAAAGACTACACTGTATCATATTCACTTACAAGTAAAAGTTAGAGACACATTATTTAGTTTCATTATTCATTTTCCTATAATCTAATGGTTAATATGGATTACTAATTTAGACAATTAGATTACTAAAAAATAATGATGAAGATGAAGAGTAGTCTCTAACTCCTACTCTTGGAATGAATAAATTCATCCTCTTATAATTTATATATCAAATAGTTATATCTAAAATAAAAATTAATTTCATTAATATAACTTAAATTTAAAAATATATTTTTTAATTTTTTATTTTAAATTATTTTGTTATTTTTTATTTAGTGTTTTTATATGAACACGTTATAATTATTAATTTTGGTTTTATTTTCTTTAATGTTCTTATTTGATCTTGTCTTATTAAAAAAAAAAAAAACATCTTGACTCCCTTGTTTCATTGTACTAATTATTGTTAATGTCCTTGCTAAAGTTCTCACAAACAATTTTCTACTATTTTTACTTGTGTACAATCATCCTTATTTCTCAAGAGTTCATAAGGTGAAGTTGAGTGATATTTTCCCAGAATTTCCAAAATTCCTGAGAGAAAGGTAGGTAACACACCAACAGTATAATTTTTTTTATTTTAAAATAATTCACAATAAAGCTAGAAAAAGAAAATTAGGAAAAAAAATGATAATAGACAATGTTACGCAACACAATTGTGTCCCCAACAATAACGTCATTTGATGACAACATTTTGGTTGCACAAAATCTTGATAAAAAAATAAACAAGTTGCTAAACTAATGTAGTATAACTAACTTATGTCAAATCTCACAAGAAAATATGATTGTACTCATTACCACACATCATTTTTGTCTAAAATAGTAAGTAATAGTAAATGGGTGGTTGAGGATAATAAAATGAAAAGCGAAAAATAAATTGAAGCTAAATAATGAAAAATCAAAATTAAATTATAGCATAATAGTAACAAGAATTAAATTGAAGCGAGAATAATGAAAATTTAAATAACTAGAATTTATAAAAATAAAATTGAGTGTTTTTAATTAAATTCAAAATTTTCCATAATAAAGTGTAAAATTAAAAATTTCTTTTAATTAAAATAAAAGAGTGTAATAATTAAATTTAAAATTGGCGAAAGAGATAAACCTAAATTTAAGTGCAAATTGGAATAAAAAACAATAAAATAAAATTGGAATCAAACAATTGATAAATTGGAATACTTGGAATAAAATAGAAATTCTAAACAATTAAATAATAGAAATGAAAATGAACACAAATGAATAAAATAAATTCAACAATATAAAACTAAAAAATTCAAGAGAGATTGAAAAATAAATAACAAAAGAGAACAAGTATAAAAGAGTTGTAATAGATCTAGCTAAGCTTGCCAAATTAAAAACTAAACTAAAAAAAATTGGAAATGAAATGAAAAAAAAAATGGGGACGAGACAAGACAACAGTTCTCACCCCAGAAAAGTAGATTGTGACTTTGTGCTCTTATTATACCTCTATTTATAGGGACTGAATAAGAGGAATTAAGTCCGAAATTAATTATAATCAAATAATAGTTCCTAGATTAAAAATTGTAAAACTAGATTGCTATGACGATAAATTTTTTTGATTAATTCGGAGGAAATAATATGCTTCTTTCCTATTTTGAGTTATTCAACGCTGATTTGTATTTAATTCTTAATTCTCGTTGACCTTTAATTAAGCTAAATTAGATTTACACAATAGTTAATTTGTTTGATTCAAAATTTTCATTTGTAACATTCCGCAAGTAGGTTGTACAAACAACTTATGAGAAGAGTGAAACTTGGCTCCATCAATTTGAACATTTATTTCCATCAATTTGACTCATCTCAAATTACTTTTCTCTTAAAAAAAATAATTGTGCCTTGTGGATATATGCATGTTTTTTTTATTCTAAAACTATACAAAATGCAACAAATTAAGAAAAATTTAAATAAATTATGTTTTTAATGAAAATATGTTAAATGCATGATTGATCAAGAAAATAATTATCTTGAAAAATGCTCTTAGATCAAGAAATAAAGAGTAAAATGACATACATCAATAGACAATTAGAGGTCAATTAAGTGAAAACACAAATAATTATTTGAGTGTAAACACGTGATAGAGTGATAATGTGATAAAGATTACATTTAAAACTATTTTTATAATAATTTCATCATAATTGGAGGAGAACAAGTACAAGGTGTTGAACTCAAGTTGTTGGTGAAGACTATTTAAGATCAATTCAAAGCTCTAAATGCAAGATTTGATGATTTACAATCCAATGCTAAATCTAACCCCTCCTAATAGAAATTATAATGACGACAAGAAGATAAAAAAGAAGAATGATAAATATAGAGTTGATAATTATTTATGCAATACTAAGATGAACATTATTTTATTCCATGGAAAGAATGATCATGAATTGTATTTGAAGTAGGAAAAGAAATTGAAACGGAATTTTGAAGAGAGAAGAAGAGAAAAAAGAGAGCAAGTATACAGAGATAAAAAAGGAGCATATTTGATGAATATTGGGTAAAACATGTTGTAATAGTAACGATTGAGAGAAAGAGAGCTCATAAGAAAAAGAAAAACAAAGTGTTAGTTGAAAAGAAAAATATAGAAGAAAAAGAAATAAAAAATGAGTTGAAATAAAAAGAAATAGAAGAGAAGAAATTGAAATAATAGGAAATAAACAAGAATTAGTCGAGAGAAAAGAAAATAAAAAATGAAGGAGTTGAAAAAAATATATAGGAAAAAAAGGAGTTGAGAGAAAAAAATTGAGAAAAAAAAGAAAAGAAATGAGAGATGAAAATAATAATATAGACATATTTTCTTGTGTAGATATATTGTTTTGTCCATTTATCAAGGTAAGAATGAATTTTCCATAACATTTTATCAAAATCTTGAATAAAAACTAAGGAGTACTCATGAGTTATTTCTTATCTTAGAAAAGATAAAATAGAAATTTATGATATTACATTATTTTTATACAACTCAATGCTAATTTTTCTCTATTAAAAATTATTTTACTAGATTTTAAAAAACTCATTTGTTGATTTTTATAAGTTGTTTAATGAAATAATTAAAAAAAATATAAACAACTTATTATACTATGCCTCCTATACAAAATTATTTCAAACTATTACTATTTTTATTTAAATAATTATTTCAAACTACTACTATTTTTATTTAAATATTTGAATAATCATTTTTATCGGAGATACTATATAAGTTATTTTTTTATGCTATTCCAATGAAACAAGAAGCATGAGCATGTGGATTGGCTATCAGGCCAATATTAAAATAAATAACAATATATAGAACCAGCAAAAAAAAATAGTCGATAAAGTTGATTTAAGGACAAATATTTTAAAAGGAAGGAATATGAAAATTCAACTAATCAATGTATAATAAATTATCTTTTTACTATAGATCGATCTTCAGATTTTTTATTTTTTATTTTCTCTCGACCCCTATTAAGAGGTTTATTCAAACTAAACTTTAGAATAATTCATCAATTTTCTAGTTAGACCAATTAGAGTGATTAATTTTTCAAATCACATATATTATTAATTCGGACGAAAATCGAAAAATTGGTAAATTGAAAAGCAATAAAAAAAATTGCATTACAATATGTCAATAAAATTATTTAATGGGATATTGTTTTAAATTTTTATCAAAGTTAAAAGAAAAAAAAACAACTTAACTATTTGTTGCCTTCTTTTTTATTTCATTATTGTTATCGACGTTTTATGTTTTGAAAATTAAATCCAATTATATAATTTAAGCATTAGTCTATAAACAAGTTTAAGTTTTTAATGTCAAAATGATATTATATTTGAATAAGTTTTCCATTAAACCAATGCTTCCAAAATCCTATCCATGAATAAATTAGTGAAGACATTAGTTCAAGAGTCGGATTCAACTTAATTTAATAAAATAATATTTTTATAATATAATAAATATATAATAAATTTATTAATAAAAATATTTTTTATAAAAAAAATTATTGCCACATAATCATCATAAATTATAATAAAAATTATAAATATAAAATATATTAAAAAATTAATAAGAATAATTATTAAAATAAAATAAAAATATAATAAAATAATTATTATTTAAAGATGACATAACTAATATAAAAAAATTAAAATATATTAAATTTCTTATAAAAAAAATTATCATAATTTTTCTTTACCAAAATTATTTCACCCAAAAACTCAATCGGTTTTATCCAAGGTTTAATTAAATTTCAATTAGTTGGAATAGAACAATTTATTCCATAACAATTTTTTTAAAATGGTAAATAATTGTTTTGAAACTATTGGAGGTTTGTCCTTTGAAGTATTAATTGACCGGCCGTTGAACAACCACTGTGGATATGCAATTATTGGTCGGAGCGCAATCTAACAACTTCATAACCTCACATTATTAATTAATTATTATTGTTCTTATTATTACTGTTATTATTATTATTTCAAAAAGTCAACCAACTAACCAACTAACTAACTAACTAACACAATTTAAAGCCACACTCTTCCTTTTGCAATAAATCATTTTTTTTTCAAATTAAAATAAAATAAAGATAACACAAAAAGCAGCCTTTGACCTTTCCTTCAATCAACCGTGTAAAACTGATATTCTCATTATTCGTTCATAGTTCATTCATTCACATGCAAGTCCCAAAACCAATGTTTGCACTGCAGTCTCCGCTGCCGACCAACTCCGGCGGAGGCGCTGCCGGAGATACGTCTCTGGTCAGAACTTACCGTGCTTGGAAAGGCAATAACGTAAGTTAACATAATACTATCTATCATTGTTCTGTTCCACCACCACTTTTAAGCTCACTTACCAAGTTCTTCTTCCTGTGTACTAATTCAATTCTGAATTTATTTATGTGTGTGATTGTGTCTGGATTTTACATTCAATTAGACCATGTTTTAGGAATGAACAAAAGGGTATTCATATTGTTGATTGTCAAGTTTCCGTTGGTGTGTTGATAGTTAGATATTTACTTTTGAAGTTACTTATCTATTTTATACCGTTACAAAGATTAAGCTTTTGTACTGTTTGAATGCAGTAATTGTTTCTATCCGTGTCTTGAATTATTTGTGGCTGTTGTGTTGTTTTCAGGAATTTTGTCTTCGAGGGAGGCTTATATTCGGACCTGATGGGAAATCTATACTGTTTACGGTCTTTCTTATCCTTGCCCCTGTTGCTGTTTTCTCTGCTTTTGTGGCTAGGAAATTGTTGGATTATTTTCCTCATCACTGGGGATATTCAATATTGATTGCAGTTATTTTGCACACGATATTTGTAAGTCTCTACTTTGTTCTGTAATCGTGATTTGTTTCATATGCTCAGAAATGTCTCGTGTCCTCTAGAACTATTTTGTGTAGCAGTAGAGTCGTTCCATGCATGGCCTGTGTTTTCCTTGAAGTTGTGAAGAAGCACAATGTTTCTGGTTTTATTTTTAAATTGCTATTGCTGTCTTGCTTTGAGATATAAAATTGTTTAAGGGTGTTAGTATTTTAGGAAGGATAGGAAAGATGGTTTGATGTTTAGTAGTAAGATTAGTGTAGAAAATAGTTTGTAGAAAGAGGTGGACAAATAGGAGAAGATTTGTATGAAGGAAGATAGTAATTTATCTTAGAAGTGTTACAAGATATATAGGAGTTTGTATTAGATTTTCCACTCACATTACATAAGTGACATTGCCTATTTATAGGCTTGATCCACCATCTCCTAAATATTCTACATAATTCTAGATTTTCTTAACTCTAGAATTATCTATCTTCTTCTTTTAAACATTTCTAGAATCTTCTAAGGATTCTAGATATTACTCATATGGAATTCCTAATTCTAGTAACATCTAGGATTTTATATTCTAGATCTTTCTAGAATTTGTATCATCTTTCAACACTCCTCCTTGATGCAAATTTCTGTAACTCCAAGCATGAAACGTAATTGTTCAAACTTGGCCCTTGGTAGTGCCTTGGTAAATATGTCTGCAATTTGATCTTCTGTAGTGCAATACTCAAGTTGAATTTGTTTAGTCGCTTCAGCCTCTCTGATGAAGTGATATTTAATAGCTATATGTTTTGTTCTTTGATGATGGACTGAATTCTTTGTCATTGTTATCGCTGATTTGTTGTCGCAATAGAGAGTAGTTGTTCCATCTTATGATTCGCCCATTTCTTCAAGTATTCTTAGTAGCCATATTGCTTGACTTGTAGTTTCAGCAGCAGCTACGTATTCTGCTTCTGCTGTTGATTGTGCCACAGTTACTTGCTTCTTTGATGCCCATGAGAAAAAACCCGATCCAAGTGAGAAGGCATGTTCTGGCGTACTCTTCATGTCGTCTATTGATCCTGCCCAATCACTGTCGGTGTAGCAAATCATCCTTGAGTTGGTCATGGTCTTGTACCATATACCAAACTCTCTTATACCTTGCAGATACCTTAAAATCCTTTTTCTTGCTCCATAGTGAATATGACTTGGTTTTTGCATGAATCTTGACAGAAGACTTGTAGCATACATAATGTCTGGTCGTGTAGCTGTGAGATATAGAAGGCTTCCGATCAAACTCCTGTATTGTGATACATCTACTTCTGGTACTCCATCATCTTTCTTTAGCTTTTCGTTTACCACTAAAGGAATAGTGACAGGTTTACATATGTACATCTTGAATCTCTTTAGTAGAGCTTCAATATATTTCTTCTGATAGATAAACATTCCTTCTTTTTGTTGTATAATCTCTATCCTGATGAAGTAGTTCATCAAGCCAAGATCAGTCATTTCGAATGTTTTCATCATATCTTCTTTGAATTCTTTCATCATTTCTTTATTGTTTCCTGTATAGATGAGATCATCAACATATAAGGAGACAATGAGATTATATTGACCTTGTGTCTTGATATAAAGTGTTGGTTCACTCTTGCTCCTCCTGAATCCTTGATCGACAAAATATTTATCAATTTTGTTATACCATGTTCGAGGAGTTTGCTTCAAGTCATATAGAGCTTTTCTTAGTCTTAGTACTTTTCCTTCGTGGCCTTTGTTGATGAAGCCTTGTGATTGCTCAACATAGATCTCTTCTTCAAGTGTTCCATTGAGAAAGGCGGATTTGACATCCAGTTGATGGATGTTCCAACCTTTTTGTGCAGCAAGGGCTATTAAAGCTCTAATTGTATCCAGACGAGCAACTGGAGCAAAAGTATCATTGTAGTCGATTCCAGGTTATTGTGAGTATGCTTTTGCGACCAATTTTGCCTTATATTTTTGTATGGTTCCATCAGGGTTGAGCTTAGTTTTATATACCCATTTTACTCCAATGATATCTTTTCTGTGAGGACAGTCCACAAGCTCCCAAGTATTATTCTTCTCAATCATTTTGATTTCTTCTTCCATGGCCTTGACCAACTTCTTGCTTTGAAGCTTATTCATAGCAGGAAGACTCAATGATGGCCATGTTACAAGTTTCATATATATCTACCAAAGATCTTACACGTCTTGGTGTAGACTCTGGTGAAGTATATTCTTCTTCTTCTTGTGGAGGCATACTTGGATCTCTTATGTCTTCTTTATGTTTTTGTACTAGAGTCAGGATGTTACTTCTAACAAATTTTTCTTCTTCCCAATTCCAAGAAGCATTTTCGTCAACCTCAACATCTCGACTGATGACGAGTTTCTTTGTTTGTAGGTTGTAGACTCAATAGCCTTTTGATTGTTAGTTGTATCCCAAGAATATTCCTCTTATAGTTTTGTCTTCAAGCTTATGCCTCCTCTGATCAGGAACATGTATGTAGCAAATTGATCCAAATATTCGTAGGTGTTTAGCTGATGGCTTTCTTCCACTCCAAGATTCAATAGGAGTCTTGTTTTGGACTGCCTTAGTTGGACATCTATTGAGTATATATATAGCAGTGTAGACTGCTTCTGCCCAAAACGTATTTGGCAAGCCTTTCTCCTTTAGCATTGATCTCACCATTTCCATCACTGTGTGATTCTTTCTTTCTGATACATCATTTTGTTATGGTGTATATGCAACTGTAAGTTGTCTTTATATTCCTTCATCTTCACAGAATTTATCAAATTTTTTGGAGGTGTACTCTTTGCCTCGATCGCTCCTGAGCACCTTTATCTGTTTTCCGCTTTGCTTTTTGACAAGGGCCTTAAATTTTTTGAATATTCCAAAGACTTCTGATTTTGCTTTAATGAAGTAGACCCAAGTCATTCTAGAAAAATCATCAATGAAAAGAATGAAGTACCTGTTGTTATTAAGCGATGGAGTCCTCATCGGTCCACAAATATCTGTGTGGATTAACTCCAACAAGTCTTTTGCTCTCCAAGTATTTCCCATAGAAAATAGTAATCTGTGTTACTTTCCCAGAAGACATCCTTCACAAGCTTCGCTACTCTCCTTAAGGCTTGGTAGATCTCTCATCATGCCTTTTTGATGTAGTAGCTTTAAGGAATGAGTATTGAAGTGGCCAAATCTACGATGCCATAACCACGAGTCATCAACTTCTACTTTCATGGCAATGTTAGTTCCTCGATTGAAGCTTATAGGACAACTTTTATTTCTCTTTTCCATTTTTACTTGGCCAATCTCTAGAATTTTCTTATCATAGATAGTGCATGTATCTCTTTCGAAGTGAAGAGTATATCCTGTGTCCATCATTTGACCAATACTTAAGAGATTTTCTTTAAGATTGGGAACTAGTAAGGCATCATTGATAAGTCTCATATCTTTCTTGGTCTCCACCATAACACTGTCTTTTCCTTTTGACTCTACCATGGTGTCATTTCCCAATCGCACTTGAACTTTGATGGAGTAATCAATTTCTTTGAAGATTCTTGGATCATTCGTCATATGGTTACTACACCCGCTGTCCAAGTACCATCTTCCTTTTCATTCATTGTCAGAACATCCCGTAGCATAGAAGAGATGTTGTTCTCTATCCCGTTCTTCGGCAAAATTTGCTTGTTGATGATTTTTGTTACGACACATTTTCTCTACATGTTCAAATTTCTTACAATATTGACATTGAGATTTTCCTCGATGCCAACAATCTTTTTCCAAGTGATTTGTCTTTTTGCAAGTGCCACATGAAGGATATTTTCCTTGAATACTCCTCCATTCTGAGATCATAATTTTAGTTTTGATGGAAAGGCATTTTCGACTGAGTCTTCTTCACGCCTTTTCAATATTTGTTCATATGCTTTAAGAGAGTCTATTAGTTGTGTCACCGATAATTTAGATAACTCTTTTGTTTGTTCAATTGCAGTTGCAATTGCATCATATTTTTGGGGAATAGAAATTAGAATTTTCTCAACAATTTTCTTGTCAAGAATATTTTCCCTATAGGCTCTCATCTGACTAATTATTTCTTTTATTCTAGAATAATAATCTTTTATGGTCTCAGATTCATTCATTCTTATTAACTCAAATTCTCTTCTTAGTGAATGAAGTTTAATATTGTGTACCTCATCGCTTCCTTTGCACTTGTGGCACCCATTATTCTTGGAAAAATAGTGTCATCAACTGCTTGCTGAAGAGTGAATAATGCCTTTGAATCCTTTTGTTTGTTTTCCTTCAGCTCCTTCCTCTAGACAGCTGTAAGAGTTGAGATGTCTTCTGGAATAGTGAACCCATCTTCTATGACGTCCCAAAGATCTTGAGAACAAAAAAATGTCCTCATTTTGACTCTCCAAAAATCATAATTTTCTCCCTTAAAAATAGGGATTGGAATGGATGATGTTTGGTTGGTAGTGGCCATAGGTTGAAATTTTTCTTTTGGAAGTAATGTCTAGTGGGATTGGATTTTTTAAGGTAGTCAAAAAATTTTCTCTACGCCAGTAGGTGACCGAACATAGCTCATATACCACTATTAGTATTTTAGGAAGGATAGGAAAGATGGTTTGATGTTTAGTAGTGAGATTAGTGTAGAAAATAGTTTTTAGAAAGAGGTGGACAAATAGGAGAAGATTTGTATGAGGGAAGATAGTAATTGATCTTAGAAGTGTTACAAGATATGTAGGAGCTTGTATTAGATTTTCCACTCACATTACATAAGTGGCTTGCCTATTTATGGGCTTGATCCACCATCTCCTAAATATTCTACATAATTCTAGATTTTCTTAACTCTAGAATTATCAATCTTCTTCTTTCAAAAATTTCTAGAATCTTCTAAGAATTCTAGATATTACTCATATGGAATTCTTAATTCTAGTAACATCTAGGATTTTATATTCTAGATCTTTCTAGAATGTGTATCATCTTTCAACAAAGGGGTCTCCTAGCACATAGCAACTCAATTTCTATAATTTCTCATTTG